TCAAGACCCCAGCAAACAGTCTTGACGTCCAACTTTTAAAATATATCAGAACTTCAGAAAACAGACTTGACGTCTAATAAATTTCAGAAAACCGACTTTCTTATAAAATATGTCAGACCCCCCCCCCCCCCAAAAAAAAAAACAATAAATAAATAAAATAAAATAAAGATTTGACGTTCAACTTTTAAAATATATCAAAACTTCAGAAAACAGACTAGAATTCTAACTTTTAAAATATGTAAAGCCTCAGAAAACAGATTTGAGATTCTAAAAATATATTAGAACTTTAGAAAACAGATGACGTCTAGCTTTTAAATATGTGAAGAAAACAAACTTGACGTCTAGCTTTTAAAATATGTCAAGACCCCAGAAAACAGACTTTAAGTCTAGCTTTTAAGCATATCAGAACACCAGAAAACAGACTAGACGTCAAACTTTAATATATTTCAGTAAGGAATTGACGTCTATCTTTTAAATTTGTCAGACCCCCCACCCACCCCCCCCCCCCCCCTCAAAAAAAAAAAAAGAACTGGACGTCCAACTTTTAAAATGTGTCACACCACAGAAAACAGACTTGACGTGTAACATTTAAAATATGTCAGGACACCAGAAAACTTGACGGTTGACAGCGGAAATCTTCACCACGAAAGCTGCCAACGTTGACTTCCGCCCGTCGTCCCTGGGACACAAAGAGTTAACACACGCAGCGACGTTGATTAACCCTTTTAGTTCCGTTGGAGCCACAACGCGTGAGGCACTTTTCGGGCGAGTGCCCTTTACCTAGTGGTTGAAACATCAGGCGGGTTAAGGTTTAGTGGGTCGTGGTTAAACTTAGTTGACGTTTAGATTAGCTTGCGTTTTTTTTTTTTAAATTACGAGTTTTTTTAGGTACTTGTATAAAAGTCGACTGGCGTATCAAGGATCTAATGATTGCTAAGAGATCGCTCTTGCTGATAATAACCCAATAACATTAATCTTAACCAAAGCTGTGATTCGTGCCGAGATTAAAACCATAAGCCTAAACTTAATCACTACTTCGTTAAAAAAAAAAAAAAAAAAAAAAAAAACAACTTTGATACGTTAATGTATTGCAAACTTTCTTCCATCTCGTATAAAGTTATTACAACTCAAGCCGCGCTCATTAGCCAGACAGACTGGAAAACAGGACAGAGGATTTTAAAAATCGAGCATTTCCCTACCCATGGTACCAGCATGTACATGTCATGGTCTACCAGGGTTCCAGTGCACAGCACCAGCTGTTTTGGACATAAGGGGCAGTTCGGTAGGAGCATGGCCTATATTCTCGAGGCAGGGTCTCGAACTTATGACTTTCGTGTTAACAAGTGCGCGGTCTACCACTAAACCACGCCGTTCCCAACCTTCATTTATACAAAAACTGTTTTGTTGTAAATTACTAACTGTCCATCCGTGATCAAGGGTTTCTTTTAACTGAGTAGATTAATCAGTCGGTATGGACTGAAAGAGAGATAGAATAATCATCTATGTTGATAGAAATCCTGAGCGAACCTACTACATGTTGGCGAGTTTCTGTTATAACCTCACCTCTGGCCAGAGATTATACCTACAGACTGTCTTTATCTAGATAATAATAGAATTATTGTTAGAGAATGATTTGCCGTACGACGAATTATTGTGGGAATATGATTTGCCGTACGACGAATTATTGTGTAACTCAGTAAAGGAGACATCCCGTGGATTTTTTATTCGCATTATCCATTGATCCTAGTAATCCACTCGTAATTTAAACGTTTAATATGGCAAGCAAGTCATATATTTTTCTATCATGTTTTAACACTATATACATATATAAAACCGTAAATTATACAACGCAATAAAGCATGTATTTAAAAACAGCGATGCAAATATCAAGCCATCAGTCTATGTACCAATTATACATCAGATTGTACACTATGTACTAGAATACGATGTACAAAATGGTTTCTGTTGAAGACAGACAATCCTTTCATCGGCTGAACTATTTGTGATTAAAGAGCTAAATGAATGAGTTCAACAATAGCTCTATGAGTGCGCCTAGTCGATCCTTACATATTTAAAAGGTTAACTTTTATACTGTTTCACCCGGGATAGACTTAGGGGGTGGGGTTTAATGGACGTTTGTTTACAAATCACTTACAAAATGAATATTTAAAAAAAAAGATAAAAATTATCAATTTTTTTTTAATCAGTGAACAAAGTTCTATTCATTGTATTTTGAAATAAAAAACAAAATAAAAATCTGGGCTGTTATTACTTCGGTGAGTTGTGACGTAGACATCTACAACAAAGCGCGCGCCGACTGCAATACTTCCCCGCGGGGGTTTGTTTTCAACCAATCGGCGGCCGCCACGTGAAGTACCACCACAATTAGAATTAGAGCTCATTAATCTACGCTGATTCAGGTCTCCGTTGGAATAAAATTTACGACGCCGTTTAAGTTTTGAACAAGCAGAAATTTGAAAACGGCTTTAAATAGGCGTTGTTGTTGTTTTAGATAAATGGAAACATTTGCACTGTATGAACTGTGCAGTGATATTTAGAAAATAGGATTAGACGGAAGCTTTGATTTGGACGGGGCGGTTTCAAACTGTTACGTGCAGGCAGGATTTTTTTATTTGTTTGTATTGATATTGATCAGGGTTCATGTCAGTAGAACGTCCCTGAGTCCACCCAGCTGTGATGGTTACCTGACAGATGTTAGGGAAAGTAAAGACGGCTGAGCAAAGTGCTAACCACAAATTCCCTTTTTTTTTCTTTTTTGAGTCACCCAGACATGTAATTTACAGCGTTAGTTTGCCTTTCATGTTCGTTTTAGTATTACTTTTTTTCATGGACTGATACAGATTTACATTAGTAATACTTCTTTCTTACATGTAGCTTACTTTCATTCATTTGATATGGTTTAGTTATACATCGATTTAATACAAAATTTCTAATTACAATTGTTATTTTAAAAAACACCTGAATATGCAAATGTGTAATTAAATAATGATTCAAGGTACTTTTTTTTTTACATCGGCGTGGTGGGCTGAGGGGGTTTGGGCTTCTAAAAAAGAGCAGACACATATGTTAGTAATTGATAATTGCCTTTCCTTTTCTTCAAAAATGAAAGAAAACCAGAAAAGCGCGTTGCAAGAGAGGGCACAATTGTTAAGCAATTAGTGTACGAGAGAACAGAGAACCGAACGCGTAAATTGAAAAAAACGTCGTATGGTTTTCACATCGTCTGGGCTGTTGCCATAGCAACAGAAACAATTGGTAAATAGCCTTTAAAGAATTGTGGTGAGGAGGTTTGGTGATGTGCGTGATCGCAGGGAGGTGAGTGGTGTGTGTGGGGGTGGGGGGGGGGGGAGTGGGGTGGGGTTAATGAAGGAGGATTTTGATAGAGAAGCATGATAGGCAGATTCGATGGAAGACTTTGAAGGAGGTATTCGGAGGAGTATTTTGATGACGGAGGTGTTCGGAGGAGTATTTTGATGAAAAGGGTGATTGTTGACAGGGGTGGGGGGGGGTGTTGATGACGTAGGCGCAGTTTGTCGTCTTTCCTGATGAGGTCTTGTGTTTGCATGTAAGTCGATAAAAGTCTGCCCAGGTATAGCCGTACCGAGAGTTCATGGTTCACCCTGACCAATTAACGCTTACTTAAGAACAGTACAGCCGTTGCTACAGTTTACAACTTGATTTTTTAAAAAATCAGTGTTTTTTTTCAAACATTTTTCTATTTGGAGGGAAAGTGAAACTTATGGGGAGGGGGGTGCGGGCAAAAAATTTCCAGGTGGGTGTGTGTGTGGGGGGGGAGAATGACTGTGGACGTGCTTTGTGGGGGGAGGGGGGGCAGTGAAAACTAAAAGAAACTCAGTTTAAAACAACATCAATGCAAAATTTCAAAATACCTTTTATATTCTGGAGTATTCCATCTTGTACAATACATTTTCCAACAACCTCAATAGTCTTTGAAAAAAAAAATTAATTACTTAATCAAAACAATTTCTACAATTATCATCTTTCAGCATGCAAAAAATCGACATATATTTTTTTTAAAAAGTAATGTAATTAGCAATTAGGGACTCACATCTGCAATTAAGTATCATTATGTGACAGAAAAGTTCTATTAGGAAGAAAAACAGATTCGTCTGCGTCACGTCACAAACTCTACTTGAGGTATACAATGTCAGGTGCAGACAGACCCAGGTATCGTGTCCAGGGAAATAACTCTACGATCAGATTACAGACAACCACGAACTGTTTTTTTTAAAAATGTTTGTTGATAAAACGAAATGATGATTTTACGAGAGTGACACATTTTTTACATAAACAAATATTACCCCCCCCTCCAAAAAAAAATCAAAACCAAGCAAACAAACAAACAAACAAGCCAAAAATAAACACCTGGATACCTGATACTAGGTCAGCTCGTGAAGACGGACGAGAATTTGATTGGTTACCTGACAATGATTGGCATAATGACTTCGGTAAAAATAGATGCACCCTGCTCTGCGATGTCTTGTGTCGTGTCTTTGTCTCACATGCACACATACAAACACTCATGCACCGACAAATATATATATATATATATATATATATATATATATATATATATATATATATATATATATATATATATATATATATATATATATATATGTGTGTATATATATATATATATATATATATGTGTGTATCATATATAAATTATATATATTAAATATATATACTATAGTTATACTGTATATACATAACATATACTGTATGTAGGGCCTACATAATTATATACTGTGTATATATACTGTTTATATATACTATATATAAACTGTATACATATACATATATATACTGTATGTTTTATATATATATATATATATATATATATATATATATATATATATATATATGCTTGCTCCTATTTTCAATATCTGATATTTACATGCCAATAAAAACACTATGCAGCAATTAAGACTTGCAATTTTCTATTCTGTTTGCAGTGGCCATTATTTGTGTCCCGATGACGTCAATCAATTACGTGTACAACGTATGGATTCTGGGCACCACCGTCTGCAAACTGACGTCATACATGCAAGGTTAGCATTTCACTTCCGGTTATTGAGTTTTTAGTTTTGAAGACGTAGTACCTTACGGGTTCCTGTGATTGTATAAAAGTATCACAATGGACAAACAGTTCCTTTGATGTTGAGTGGCTCATACAAACACACGGTGATCCTTTACAGTTGATGCACTGAATGCTGTAGGTGAATAGAGTAGAGCTCACACATTAAAACACTGTGATGTTGTTACCAGCTAGATAAAGCGTGTACGTCTTGTCTAAACTACAGCTCGGATTATTCTGCAGAAACACATGTACTCTACTACACCTGCTCCCTTTTGGGCCCTCTGGTGTGATAGGGTATAATTTTTGTTTTCTTTCAGTCTTTCTTTGACATGGTCTACTGATATAAGCTTTAATATATTGAGCTCAAATCAAAACTTATAATATGAAAATCTGAAGTGTGTTTGATCATTCAACTACCTTAGAAACAAATAAAAATTGTTTTTTTTATTACTCGATTATCTCAGACAGAAAAAGTGGTATTTTATTATTCAATTATCTCAAAGAAAAAGTAGTACTAGATTATTAACTATCTTAGAAAAAAATAAAAGTGATATTTGATAATTCAACTATCCTAAGTAAAACCAAAATGTGGTATTTGATCATTCAACTATTTCAGATAAAAACAAAAAGTGGTAATTGATAACTCATATATCCCTAAAGATTCTCCAAAATATTCCAGGACTAAATAAATCGGGACAAAGTTCTCCAAATGCCAAATTATTTTAATTCTTTTAAAATATAAATTTTACATTACTTCAACATTTCACCATCATAAAATTATTCCAAATTATATCATCCACTTTCCTAATCCATCTTAGAACCGGTTCTTTTTAATTTATATTCCAACATAAACCATATCCATCTTACACCATAATTTAAACAAAACACTATGTATTCTGACGGGATTCCCTCCCATGATATCATTATATATCGACTCCTCCAGATATCCCATATTTCCAACATCCTGCAACTATCCACCTACTTATAAAACTATCCTTAAGGTACCATATCTTTCTAATCCACCAGATTATCCCAACTTTCCTACCCCTCCACTACCCCACCCCACAGGATAGGCCTACTTGTGCAGTTTGTGCATTTGCTGCTTAGCATGAGAGCATGAAAACTGTCTAATTGCCATGAACTTTAATTAAGTAGACCTACTAATTACCGTACATTTAAAGTAATTTAGTAAAGATCCTAATTGCCTTAAACTAAACATAATTAAGAAGACCTAGTAATTACCGTTAATAAAGCATTTAAGAGGACTTAATTATTGTAAACGTAAAGTAATTAAGTGGCCTCCTAATAAGAATAAACGAAATTAATTAAGTGGTCTCCTAATAATAAACCAAAAGTAATCAAAAAGAAAACTTAATTAGTATAAACTTAAAGTAATTAAGTAGACCTCCTAATAATTGTAATTTTAATATAATCAAACAGGCCCCTAATTAACATAAACCAAAAGTAATTAAAAAGACCTATTAATTATTGTAAACTTAAATTAATTAAGTAGACCTTGCAATTTGCGTACACAAAAAAAAAGAATCAAGTAGACCTCTTTAGTACTGTTCGCTAAAGGTAAATAAATTATTTCGAGTTAAGAAAAAAAAAGTAAAAGCAATTTTACAGTAAAACCAAAATTAAATTTTTAAAGTACCTTTTTCTGCTGTACATAGAGTAACTAATTAGTTTCACCCTGCCCCCCCCCCCCCACCCTGCTTAAAATCAAGGGACCGAACTCCAGTAACCGTCCCTCCACCCTGAACATCTGCATTATCTCCCCACCGAATTGGATTATCGCGTTAATCTTCTCAGGCGATGTAGACATTTAAGCCTGCCGTCCACGTGACCACGTGGCATATGTCACGTGTCACGGTGCGGCTGATATCGGCCTACGATCACGGAGCGTGATTGGCCAAGTTCAGCGATCGACTTCGAGTTCGTGTCCTGGTTTAATGGCTTAGTAAACTGTCCAGTCTTTTTTTAAAAATCAGCTATGTTTTTCCATTTTTCCCAACCAAATAATATTCATCTAACAATAGATTAAATCTTATATATTTATGTTACTAATGATGTGTTTACCTCATTCTGAATGCAATGAATAATTCAAGGATTGTGCTCTTCTTTTGTTTATTTAGTGACGCCTGTTGTAATGTAAACATGTTTAGTTATGTTAAGGGTGTGAATGTTTGAGGTACATGTTTTGTTTGAAAACGCGGACAAAAGAAACAAAGTTCCCCTTTCAGACCTAACTATGGTAGATAAAGTAGAGTTGATGTGTTTCTTGACCTCAGCATATGAAGAGATGGTGTGGTCAGCAGTTTTTCTTGATGGACTCCCTTAGACTCATGTCCGGACTGAGATCCGAACTCTAGACTTTCATGTTAGTAGTCATGGGCTCTACCTCTCAACCAAAAAGCCAGACCACATAGGTGGATGAACTCCGGCAGACAAAAGAGATCCGAACTTGAGACTTTCGTGTTAGCAGTCGTACGCTCTAGCTCTCACACCGTCCCACAGATGAAACAAATGCTTAATCTTTGGTAAGATTCCAGCGGTACATGCTTTCACAGTATGGCTCCTGCATACATCAAGCATAAACTTTCTCTCTATTTCTCTCTCTCTCTCACGGACTTGCTCAAACTAAAACTATTACCCAGGCAGATTTGAACACGATTAAGAATCAATCATTTCTCACACCCAAGTTACCAGCTAGACCCGTGGGTTACCACATTACTCTCACCCTAATTACCAGCCGCTAGACCCGTGGGTTTCCGCCAGGCTTTCGCTTCCTCCCCCTCCCCCAGTGTATTACACCACCATATTTGACCACGTCGGGCAGTTCGGTCTGAGAACTACCCACGGTTTACAGCCCGGGTTTCGAACTCTACCGCTAGACCACGCCATTCCAGTCTTGCTAAACCAGACGATACTTTAACACTACAGCAAAAAAAAAAAAAAAAAACACTGTAGTAAAAATTGTTAAATTGGGATCTATTATATTCAGCCTCTCATAGCCTCCACACCTGGTTCTATCCTATGCATCTGGTACAGTTTTAAACTGATTGCCCCATATACAACTAACCCCACACTTAATATATCCGCCCATGCTCTATAACATGTGTTTTACTCCCCGTGGACTTCTATTACTAGATAAAAACACATTTAATACAAAATAAAAACACATTTAACACAAATAACTTCAGTAATTTAAGATCCGCAATAACAAAAAAATAGGACCATTATCTAGATATCGATATCCTAATTACAGCTACATTATCCCCTATAAATCCATATTAAATAAAATAACTCCTTGAAAATAATCACACTAACCTATATACCCCGTGTTCTAAAAATAATCACCATTCATCGGATTAGGAACTCCATTTTGATAACAATAACAACCCCAACTGTAATATTAAATACATTTTTCTAGGTTACAATTAGGGACACTGGGGTGTTATCTGTGGGGTTGGGATGTGTGGGATGGGGGTAATGTCAGACAACAGCTATCGATTTTTGAAGCCCATTCATATCTTTTGTGGCAATCTCGAAACCTGGACAACTGTGGCTCTCTGTATGGACGGGAAGCACGAGAGATTTGAAGAAACAGAAAACAAGAGGAAAACTTTTAAAAAATCCAAGGCGAATGCACGTGCGAAAAAATGCTAGTGCACGTGCGAAAAAAACGCGAGTGTACGTGCAAAAAAACGCGAGTGCACGTGCGAAAAAACGCGAGTGTACGTGCGAAAAAACGCGAGTGTACATGCAAAAAAACGCGAGTGTACGTGCAAAAAAACGCAAGTCCACGTGCAAAAAACGCGAGTGTACGTGCGAAAAAACGAGTGCACGTGCGAAAAAACGTGAGTGTCCGTGATAGTTGAGTAAAGACAATACGCCGGAAATCATGCTATACTTTTAGAACATTTGAAACGTCGTGATTAGTAATTGAATCCTGAGTCTTCCGGTTGCTGCAGTATCTACTCTGTATTGTAGATTCGATGGCGTAACTAGAGGGTGTGTGGGTGAAAGGGAGATGAGGCCCCAGGTGAACATTTTGAAAAGGAAATTAGTATTTGTTCAGTAAATTAGGGGGGAGGCAAAGATCTGATGGTAAGAACATATAGACTTGAGAGATACATAATGTTACTAAATTAACCCTTTATCAAAACTTGAAATGTGATAGTGCTTACTTGTATGTAAAATTGTGACAGAAATTTGAATTACCGAATACAGATATGTTACCTAAGAAACCATTCTTAAAACATTTTCAATAACATTATCGGTGTTTTTCAAATTATCTTGTACTGTCGTGGACGGTGTGGTTGAGAAGTAGAACAAACGACTGCTAACCCGGAAGTCTCGAGTTCGAATCTCAGTAGAACGTCCCTGGAGTTCAACCAGCTCCGGTTGGTTCCTGACTCATGTTAGGGAAAGTATAAGCGGCATAGTGCTGGCCACATTATCTCTTGATGGCGTGGTCATCTCTTTACCCCTTTGACCATCAGACTTTAAATGGTACTTTACTTTTCTTGTTCGTCTTTTGGCAATTTTCGATAATAAAGGAAAATACATTTTTTTAACAATATTTTTTAAAGTGGTGTTACACACGTTTAGCATCTCAATATGCTGAACAGGCCTACACATTTTGATTAGATATTAGACTTTCTGGCTATTCTAAGCAGCATTTTATTGTGACATTAGTTCAAGGGTAAGTCGTCGGTGCACTGATGTTAACTTTGCAGTACAGTTCCTTAGTACGCCGGGGCCACAGAAAGTAGTTCACCCATCTGACAGGCTGTGAATTACCCAGTGAGATGTTGTTCTCCATTACACCACCCACCTCCTCTATTCTAAAAGTAAATTTTCTCGTGAACGTACTTCCGCCGTTGTACTCACTGTCTGATGGTGCCGGTAGCAAACAGCGCTCACAGTGAAAGATTATGTTTCACCCTCGTCCATCTCCCGTCA